AAAAAAAAAAAAAAAAAAAAAGCACCCCAAGTTTCAATCCCCAGTACTGACACACTCCTTTCCCCAGAAAAAAAGAAAAAAAGCTAGTAGAGAGAATTCTGAATTGTTCACAACCCCCCCCGCCAAAAAAGATAAATGTCTAAGGTGACAGACATGCCATTTAACCTGATCTGATCATTATACATTGTATACATACACTAATATGTCACACTCAACCCTATAGATACATATAACTATGTGCCAATTAAAAATATTTGAAGTTATTGTCATTACAATGTTACTTGCTTAATAACCTTCTCCCTGAAATAGGGATGGTATTTCCTAACTTGTTTATCACTGAATCCAGCAAACAGTACATGTTCAATAAGTATTTGTTGAAAGGCTGTATAACAAATAAATGAAGGGTGTTTGGTGAGAATTACTAAACAATTCAACTAAAAAAGAACAAATAATTAAAAATTTAAAAAAGTAAACAATTCATAGAATTTGCCCTGCAACTTTGATCCTTTCTTTATATGTTATTTTCTTTATGTAGTCTTAAAAGTAGATGGCACTCACTTAATATCAATTTGAATGGCTATTTAAAACACATATACAATAACAAGTGTTAGCAAGGATGTGGAGAAACTGGAACTCTCATCCGTTGTGAGTGGGAAGGTAAAATGGTGCAACCACTTTGAGAAGTTAGTGTAGAAATTTCTTTAAAAATTAAATGTTTACCCAATGAATGACTCAGTGATTCTATTCCTAAGAATGTACTCCAAAGAAATGAAAACATTTCTACACAAAATATTGTATGCAAATGTTCATTACTCATAATAGCAAAAAAGGGAAACCAAACGTCCATCAACTGATGAATGCAAAAACAAAACATGGTACACCCATACAGAAACAAATGAATACTATTTAGCAATAGAAAACAATAAACTTCTGATGCATGTCCATGGGGATTCTTGGAAACATTGTTAAGTGAAAGAAACCAGTTGCAAAAGAAGGCACATTTTATGATTCCACTTCTATAAGTATAGAAAAGATAAACATATAGAGTCAGCAGTACATATTGCTGAGAAGACTGAGGATAGGAGCAGTAATTCAAATTCAAATGGACAAGAGTGATCTTCGTGGAAGTAATGGAAATTTCTAAAATGAGAACATGGCAGACTGCACAATTCTGTAAATTTACAGAAATCAAGGAATGTTGAGCTGTGGGATTTTATGGTATGTAAACTACTGTAAATTAAAACTGTTTTAAAAATTGCCTATATGATGGGCAGAAGGGCAGAATATAAGAAACTATACTTGCCTTCAGAATACTTAAAATTAAAAAACCAAAACCAGTGCTTAACAGATGTTTGTTGCATGAATGCAAGTACCAAATGAGAAATACATACACTATTCAGAAGGATATTCAGAGAGCATAATTTTCCGTAGGTACTCACAAAAGGGGAACTTGAACTAGGCTTTAATAAGACAGGTATGCTTTAAACAGGATAGAAAAGTATAATGTTGCGGTTCAAGACTAGGTTTTAGTCTTGGTTCAGAGAATTGGGAGTGCTATGGTTTGAATCTGAAATGTCTCACAAAGACCCATGTGTTAAAGGCTTGGTCCCAGCCATTGGTGCTGTTGGGAGGAGGTGGAACCTTTAAGAGGTAGAGCCCAGTAGAAGGAAGTTAGGTCACTGGAGTGTGCCCCTGAAGGAGATATTAGGATGAGCACCTCTAGGTCTTTTTCTTTGCTTCCCAGCAGTTATGAGATGAATAAGCTGCTTCTACCATATCAAGCCCGAAGGACCATGGACTGAAACCTATAAAACCATGAGCCAAAATAAACCTTTCCTAGAAGTTGTTTATCTCAAATATTTTGTCACAGTGACAGAAAGCTAAGTAATATAGCTGGGATTCAAATCTTGGCTGGTTTACCTTTCTCTGGATATGTAGCAGATTACTTCTCTGTGCCTCAATTTCCTTATATGCAATGGAGGCAAAAATGGTACCTACTTTACAATATACTCATGAGAATTAAATAATGAATATAAATTCCCTAAGCACTCATTAAGTGTTAGCAATCAATCTAAAATCAAAGAAAGGAAAAGCCCAAATAACATTCAGAGAAGAGGAAACTTAATGGCATATACAGCAACAGTGGCTAACTCAAAATGGCACAAGAAGGTTTTATAGAGGATCAGAAAGCAAGCCTTGACTGAATTATAGATGGCTATGAATGCCAGAAATTACAAACTACTTCTGCTCAGGCCCCAGAAAGCTATCCATGACTTGATGGTATGGACAGTACTGAAAACAGGAAGACAGACTCTGTTGACTGGTAGTCTTCCAATATATGTCTATATCCTAATTTCCAGATTCATCAATGCAGACTTAGTTGGAAAAACACCTTTGAAGGTATATTTAACTTCCTGAGATAAGATCATCCTCAATTATCTGGATGTCTCTAAATACAAGCAAGAGTCTGTTTAAGAAAAGAGAATACAAAGAAAAAGACCATGTAAAAATGAATGAAAAGAGAATACAAAGAAAAAGACCATGTAAAGATGAAAGTAGAAATTGAACTTATACAACCACAAACCAAGAAATGCCTATAACTTTTGGAACTGGAAAAGGCAAGAAAAGATACTCCCATAGAATCTTTGGAGGGAGCAAAATCCTGTAAATACCCTGAATTTGGACTCCTGGCCTCCAGAACTATGAGAGAGTAGATTTATGTTTGTTTGTATTTTTTTATTTGTTTTTGCTGGTGCTGGAGATCAAATCCAGAGTCATGTGCATACCAGGCAAGGATTCTACCATTGTGCTGAACTCCAAGTCCTAAATTTCAATTCCAAGACATCAATTTTGTGGTAATTTATAACAATACTATGAGACTAATATGCTTATAAGGAATATTAAACTCGTAGATGTTCTCCAAGAGGGGAGTGACCAAGGAAAAACCATCCAGTATGGGGAGATTGAGAAAAAATTCATGATGAGAACACAGAATATTATTTCCCCCTCCTTAAGTCATCATTAAAACCAGTGAATATAGTATTTATGGTAAACTACATATTTTAATTAGACCCAAATATTTTACAGGAGAAGACCATAAAAAATTAAAATATTTAACATAAATATTACATTAATGTTATATTTACATATAGCATTTTATATATTAAATGTTAATATTTTAGAAATTTCTATCATGTGGAGGTGATTGGAGAGTGATATTCCCGGTGAGAACATGGAAGTTTTAGATTACTCCATACCTTGCCCTACATCTCTTCATCCAGTATTCATCTATGTATTTCGTAATATTCTTTCTATAAGCCAGTAAACATAGGTAAGTGTATCCCTACATTCTATGAGCTGTCCTAGCCAATTATCAAACCCAATAATGAATATAAATAATGAATATAAGTCATAGGAAGCTCAGTTTGTAGTCAGTAGCTCAGCAGCAAAGGTAGACAGATTTGAGACTGGCATCTGAGGTGAGAGTAGTGTTAGTGGGACTGAGTCCCCAGTCTGTGGGATCTGACTCTAACCCCAGGTAGAGGGTCAGAATTGAATTGAATTGAAGGACACCTACACACTCCAGAACTGACTGCTTGGTTGATGTGTGGGGAACCAACACCCCCCAACACACACACACATACATCTAGTCACAGATGTGGTGTTATAAGTGTGTGAGAGCACAGAAGAAAGGAAAAGAGCTTCGTTTTTTGTTTTGTTTTTTTCCTTTTCATAATAATAATAATTATAAGAAGAAAGCATCTATCTCATATTAGAAAAGGGCTACCTTAGGAGTCAGAATCCTGGTTCCAATCATAGTTATAATACTTACTAACATATTAACACAGGACAATTTACTTAATCCACTGAGCCTCAGTTTCCTCATCTAGAAAATGGAGGGAAAGCACTTACTCATAAAATGGCCATTAAGAATTAAATATGAAATCCTTATGTGAAATATACTTGAGTACCACGGTGACAATAACAAACACTATTTTCAAGTGTATACTGATTTCCCTTTTCTGAGCTCATACAAAGAATTTACAGCCTTTACTAGCTAAACTAGTACTATCTCATAAATTGTTTTGTGTAGTTTTAAAATTGTTTCACCTACGAATGTCATATCCCCCTATAACTCTTACTTATACATTAGATAACATAAGAAAACTGCTGGGCTAGGGTGTGGCTCAGTGGTAGTGCACTTGGCTGGTGTGTGTGAGGGGTTCAATCCTCAGCACCACATAAAAATAAAAAATAATTAAAAAAAAAGGTATTGTGTCCATCTACAACAAAAAGAAAGAAAGAAAACTGCTGATAGATATAAACCTCTAGTTATACTTACTGTCTTATAACTGTGTCCATCCAAGAAGAATTTGCTTCAGGAACTTTTAAACAAGCCAGAGCTGATGCTTTTATGATGAAGTCATTGACAGAAATTTTGCTTTTTCCTTCTAACATCTGTAAAGACAAGAAACTATGATCGTTTTCTTAAGTTCTCTCCCCAACGTCTTAGATTGTACACCTAATGTTGAGAAAGGAACTAGGGGGATGAAAATATATAAGTGATCCAAAGTGGGAAGGATGAAATGAAACCAAAAGTTGGTTCTTCAATCTTGTTTAATGTAGGCCTTAACAGCTATTCATTTCTTGTTAAGTACTGCTTTAGATGCATCCCATAAATTATGATATGTCTTAATTTTCACTCATCTCAACAAGATCAAAATTGATCCTTTGAAAAGATCAGTCAAATGACAACCACAATGACAAATGTTTGGCTGACAGGAAAAGACTCAAATTCTTTTTTTTTTTTTTTTTTAAAGAGAGAGAAGGAGAGAGAGAGAGAGAGAGAGTTTTTTTAATATTTATTTCTTTCAGTTTTCGGTGGACACAACATCTTTGTTTGTATGTGGTGCTGAGGATCGAACCCGGGTCGCACGCATGCCAGGCGAGCGCGCTACCGCTTAAGCCACATCCCCAGCCCCTCAAATTCTTAAAATCAGGAATGAAACAGGAGATGTTACTATCTACCTTATATAAATAAAGGATTATAAGAAATACTATGAATAACCATATTCGAACAAATTAGATAACCCTGATTGAGCCAGGTGTGGTGGTACAGGCCTATAATCCCAGCTACTGGGGAGGATGAGGCAGGAAGACTGCAAATTTGAGGTCAGCCTAGGCAATTTATCAAGACCCTGTCTCAAATTTAAAAAGAAATAGCTGGGGAAGTAAGTAGCTCAATGGCAGAGCACCCCTGGATTCAATTCCTAGTAAAATAAAAAAACAAATAAATCCATAGATTAAKGTATAGATTTAATCCTTAGATTAAAAAAATATTTAAATTGATGTATACCTGTKAAGGCCTACATTAAACAAGATGGAAGAACCAACTTCTGGTTTCATTTCATCCTTCCCACCTTGGATTGCTTGTATATTTTCATCCCCCTAGTCCCTTTCTCAACATTAAATAGATAATGTTTAGCACAGTTGCAGGAACAAGGACCAATATATAAAACTCAGTTTTATTTTTGTTTGTGTGGTAGCAATGTACAATCTGAAAATGAAATTTAGAAAACAATTCCATTTATATAAGCACCAAAAAGAATAAAGTATCTAGGAATAAATTCAACAAAAAATATGTAAAACTTCTCTAAAATTTACTTAAATGACTGAAGAAATTAAAAGAATACCTAAATAAATGCCAGAACATCACATAATCATGGATGGGAAGACAATATTGTTAAAATGGCAACAACGCCCAAATTGATCTACAAATTTAATGCAATCCTTACCAAAATCTCAACTGGCTTTGTAGCAGAAATTTACAAGCTAATCTAAAATTCATTCATAATGGCAAGATATCCAGAAAAAACAATCTTGAGAAAGAACAAACATGACAACTTCATCATTTAAAACTTACTGCAGACCAGCATAGTAGTGTATACCTATAATCCCAGCAACTCAGGAGGATGAGTCAGGAGGATCAAAAGTTCAAGGCTAGCCCCAGCAACTTAGTGAAGCCCTAAGCAACTTAAAAAGGGCTGGGGATGTAGCTCAGTGGTATAGCAACCCTGGGTTCAATCCCCAGTATGTGCGTACATATGTACGTATGTATGTATGCATCTACCTCTCTACCCATAAAACTTACTACAAAGTTACAGTAATCAGGATTGTGATATTGGCTAGAGGGTACACACACAGATCAATAGAATAGACTTAAGAATCTTGAAACAAACTCTCACATGTATGGTCAATTGATTTTGACAAGGATGCCAAGACAATTCAATGGAGAAAGAATTATCTTTTCAAACAAATGTTGCTGGGACAACTGAATGTAAACATGCAAAAGAATGAAGTTGACTCCTACTTATATTTGTGCAGAAATACACAATAAAACTCTTACAAGGAAACAGGTATGAATCTTCATAACCTTAGACAAAGACTTTTTAACAGTAGTCTACTTTATGCTTTGAATATAAACTTTGCTCTCAGCCACTGGAACTTATTTTTAAAATGGATATATATAATGGTTAATTTGAATTGTCAACTTGATTGGATTAAGAGATGGTGAAGATTAAGAGTCTTTGGGTATGTCAGTGAGGGTAGGTCTAGGAACATGTGAGATAGCCAACTGAAAGAGACCCTCCCTAAGCTTGGGCAGCACTATCCAAATAGGATGATGGCTTGAATGGAATAAAAGTTGAAGAAAAAGGAAGCAAGGAGCTCAATTCTTATTGAGATGCAACTCCATTCTTGAATTGGTTCTTGATTGCTACAGTGATCATCTGAGGATATCAAACTCTCGCTTCTTCACTCTTCCAAGAAGACTGCCAGAGATTCTCCAGAAGCCTTCAGTCTTGGACTAGGGTAGCACTGTTGATCTCTCTTGTCCTGGGGCTTCAGTCTCTTGGAATGCACACCTACTGGTTTTTCCAGCTCTCCAGCCAGCAACTATGGACTATCTAGCTTTTGGTCACATAAGCCAACCTAATAAGTCCCTTTTTTTATAATTATACTTCCTGTTAATTCTGTTCCTCTAGAGAACCCAGACTAACACAACACATTTCTTTTTCTCTCTCCCTGCTCCTCCCTAATCTTTCCCATTCCCTAACCTCAGGGGAAACAGGATTACCTTTCTTCCTTTCTTAGGCAGATTTATCTCTCCTTAAGTCTATACACCCACCATAGAAAAGACTATCCAGACTTTGGGGATAGTACCAGAAGATCTCAGAAATGACTATCTTCCAAATTAACAAGTGAATTACAACTCCAACAGAGAACACATGGAATGTAGCCTTTGAATCACCTCTTTAAAAGCCTCCTGTTCCTGCTGATGGGCAGAATCACAGCCTTTGGGACAGGAGTCCCCAGTGTTTTTCCTTTGCTAGCAAAGCAATAAAATTTCTTATTCATTTTTTCTCAAAACTGTGTTCTTGTTATTGGATTAGCATTAAGGACAAGAACCGAGCTTTTGGGCTGGGATCGTGGCTCAGCGGTAGAGCACTCACCTAGCACGTGCAAGGTCCTGGATTCGATCCTCAGCACCACATAAAAACAAATAAAATAAAGATATTGTGTCCAACTACAACTAAATAAATAAATATTTAAAAAAAAAAAAAGGACCGAGCTTTTAGCAGATAAAATGCCAAAGGGGGGGGGGATTGGATAAATAGACATACTAAAAGTTTACACTTCAAAGGATCCCATCAAAGACAGCAAGACTAAAAGCTAAAAAATGGAAAAAAAAAAAAAAACTTTAGCAACCATTTATCTACAGTAAGGGATCTGCAGAGTAAATGAAGAAATCATATGTATAATAATAAAAAGATAACCCTATTAAAGAAAAAAAGTAAATTAACTGAGTAAACATTTCTACAAAGAAGATTTAAGAATGCCAACTTGTGAAAAGCTGTTGAATCTGATTAGCCTCCAGGGAAATGCAAATTAAAACCACAATGAACGCTTGACACTTACTAGGATGACTCAAAAAGATAATCAAGTATTATTAGTAATGATATGAAGAAATTAGTACAATCACACATTGTTGATGGTAATATAAAAAGGCAAGTCCACTTCAGAAAACAATCTGGCACTTCCTCAAAAAGTAACCAAAGGGCTGGGAGGGAGTGTTGCTCAATGGAGGAGTACTTGCCTAGCATGTACAAGGCCCTGGGCTCATCCAGCACCACACATAAACACACATAAGTTAAACATAGAGTTGTCACATGATCCAGAAATTCCACTCCTAGGCATAAATGTAATAAAACAAATGAAAACTTAGGTCCCCACAAAAATCTGTACATAAAAATTTTATGTCAACATTATTCACAATAGATAAAAAGAGGAAATAATCCATATGTCACATTTTGTTGAGTTGTCCATCATCAATTAATGAACAACTCAACAAAATGTGACATATCTCATTATAGTAAAATACTATTCAGCAGTTTAAAAAAATAAAATACTAATACATGCTACATTGTGGATGAACTCTGAAAACATCTTAAATGAAAGAAGCCATTCAGAAAAAACTATATATCATATGATTCCATTTATAGGAAATATCCATAATAGACCAACCTACAAAAACAAAAAGTAGAAGAGTGGATTGGGGATGTAGCTCAATGGCAGAGTACTTGCTTAGCATGTGTGAGGCACTGAGTTTGATTCTAGCACTGCACACAAATAAATAAATAAAATAAAGGTCCATTGACAACTAAAAAATTATTTAAAAAAAAAAAGGTAGATGAGTGGTTTTTTAGGATTGGAATGATGGGAGGTCTGATGGGGTATAACATTTCTCTCTCTCTTTTTTTAATTACCTACTAATGATTAACCTAGGAGCATTCTACCTCTGAGCTACATCTCTAGCCCTTTTTATTTTAGAGATAGGGTCTAGCTAAACTGCACAGGCTAGCCTCAATCTTGCAATCCTCTGTTTCAGTCTCCCAAAGTACCTGGGATTATAGGTATACACAACCACACCTGGTTTAAGGGGTGGAAGAATTCTTTCTGGGGTGAGGAAAATGTTCTAGAACTTACTGTGGTGATGGTTGTACAACTCTGTGAATATACTAAAACCCACTGAATTGTACACTTTAAATGGGTGAAAATGGGGGCTGGGGTTGTAGCTCAGTGTTGAGTGCTAACCTAGCATGTGAGAGGCACTGGATTCGATCCTCAACACCACATAAAAAAATAAATAAAGATATCGTGTCCATTTACAATTAAAAAAAATTTAAATGGATGAATAGTATGGCATTATAATTATAACTGAATTATAACTCAATAAAGCTGTTCAAAAGAATTTGAATAAAATACATCGTACAGGGGCTAGGGTTGTGACTCAGCGGTAGAGTGCTTGCTTGGCACATGGGAGGTGCTGGGTTCGATCCTCAGCACCACATACAATAAATAAATAAAAGTTAAAAAAAAAAAAAAAACATTGTACATACATTTGCCTAATTTCCAAGTAAATTTGTGAGAAAAGAGCTTTAATACTTTGACAAAAAAGCTTGCCATCATCTTTAACTCCTATAGCCATCTGCAGAGCTCTGGCACTGTTTCACTCATGCATTCAGCTATGTATCTCACATTTAAGAGTCTATGCTGGGCACTAACAGTGAAGCTCTGGTACGAAACAGTAGGCAAAATGCATAAAAATTCTGTTCTCAGGGGGCTTATGCTCCAAAGAGGATAAATAATAAATATATGACATATATTAGATAGTGTCAAGTCTAAGGAGAAAAAGTGGGGAAGGAGAATTAAGAGCCTTAGGCACTCCATAATTAGCATGAACTTACTTCAACATCTCTGCCAATAAAAACAATTCGAACTTTGCATGGTTCAACCAAGTTATGTCCTTTGTGAATTCCCCAACTACTCTCATTGGTTTCTCCTTCTCTAAACTCCAATAACACTTAAATCTATATAGATCCTTTACCTGTAATAACCTGTACAATAAAATTTAGCAATTGATGAGTATTACCATAAAGAAACTGATCCATGTCCAGCATGGTGGCTCATGCCTGTAATCCCAGCAATTCAGAAGGCTGAGGCAGGAGGATCACAAGTTCAAAGCCAGCCTCAGCAATTTAGCGAGGCCCTAAACAACTTAGTAAGACCCTATCACAAAAAATAAAAAGGATGTAGTTCAGTGGTAAACTGCCGCTGGGTTAAATCCCCAGTAGAAAAAAACAAAAAGAGAGAGACTGATCAACAAATGAATATTTTTACTTTGACAAAAATCTTGTGGCTATAGCTCAGTGATATAGAACACTTGCCTAAAATATTCATGATGCCCTGGGTTCAGTCTCCAGCATCACCAAAAAGAAGAAGAAGAAAAAAAAGCCTTCCATATTTTCACAAATATTCTAGCCCCAATTAAATTAGGAACTCATAACAATAAAAGACTGTGTCTTATATCACGTTTCCAAAAGTGCCTTATGCTAATCCTAAACACCAAGTAAGTGCATAATACTTAACTATAAACAAAAAGTAAATATAATGTTTCTTTCTTTCCTTTCTTTTTTGATATTAAACCATAGGTTTTATTAATGATAAATGTCTGCATTTGTTTTAAAAAGCTTAGCTCTTACTAAACATAATTTTTAAACAAAAACTAATAAGCAAGAATTTGCCATATAATTACATCCATAAATAAGATTTTTAGCTAATCCAATATTGAAAGCTAAATAATGAATATAGATCAAAACAATGCTGAAACTGTCTCCTGTTACTGAATATAATGTATTTAGAAAGACACAAGCATACTGAACATAGAAAAACAATTTTGTAGATTTAGTCTACAACACTAGTATGAAGAATGACATGCAATTCAGTATTTCTTTAAAAATATTTTTAAATGGACTCACTTGAACAATGGTTTTATTTTGTTTCATTTGACAGGACAATCTGTGTTTCACAAACTGATCCTCCTTTCATACTAAAGAGCAAACTGTGTAAGTTCTCTATTCTCTTCCCAGAAACTACCTATAGATCATATCACACAATGACAACATGGAATAATTTTTCTGGTTAAGTATCATGGCCAAAAATTATCAGTATTTATTTATTTATTTTATTTTATTTTTTTAAGAGAGAATGAGAGTGAAGAGAGAGAGAATTTTTTTTTAATATTTATTTTTTAGTTTTCGGCAGACATAACATCTTTGTTTATATGTTGTGCTGAGGATGGAACCCAGGCCACACGCATGCCAGGTGAGCGCACTACCGCTTGAGCCACATCCCAAGCCCAATTATCAGTATTTAAAAAAAATTTTTTTTAGTTATAGATGRACAAAATACCTTTATCTTATTATTTATTTCTATGTGGTGCTGAGGATCAAACCCAGTGCTGCATATGCACCAGGCTAGTGTTCTATCACTAAGCTGCAACCTCAGCCCCCGGTATTTTAAAAAAAAGTAAATATCAACTGCAAATCTAGAAAAGTTTTTTTAAAGAATTATGCAAACCTAGCACATATGTATTACAGCTATTATACAAGCTAAGCAGTATGACTTATAAATGTGTATATAACAATACACATGCACTAAACACCACCTTCTACAAAGTTTAATAGTGTTGCTAAGTTAATAAATCTTTCAGGGCTGGGGATGTGGCTCAAGCGGTAACGCACTCTCCTGGTATGCACGGGGCGCTGGGTTCGATTCTCAGCACCGCATAAAAATAAAATAAAGATGTTGTGTCCACCGAAAAATTGAAAAATAAATATTAAAAAACTCTCTCTCTTCTCTCTTTAAAAAAATATTAAAAAAAAAAAATCTTTCAAAGCAGTGAAGAATTATGTAAACAGAGTTTCCAAAAGATAATAATTGCTTAAATTGTTCAAAGAACCCTGAGTCAGAACTTTTAATAGCTTCCTAAAATTATATCTATAATGTTTCTTACTTACCAAAAAAAAAAAAACCCTCAAATATTACATCCCAGTGACTTTGCTAGGCTAAAATATATGTCTGGCAAAGTTGACTTTAAGTGACAAGTTTTAATCAAGGGTTAGAAAATGAAAATTCTCTAGGATATTGACAGCAAGTTAAAATTAAAATGATATTTCATTTTTTATCACCAATTGGCATACTGTAATAAAATACACAGACAAAAATGTAACTGTTTAGTGGAGAAAAATATTTTATAATTTATAGATTTGGAATTTCTGAAAGTTTTACCTTATTTAGTTCTTTCCGTACCAACAAAACTTCTCCCATATTTACATCAATAGAAAGGTAATAATGAGGTATGGTTTGTTTCGATTGCATTAACCGTTGTGCAATAACCTGAAACCAGAGATTCAAAAATCAATTATCTTGAGTGAGAGGAGACCTTCCCTAATTCAGATCTATTTGCCTCTTCATTCTGCTTACCTCATAATGATAACCCCAAGCATTATCAGAATTGGAAGATGTATACACAGTGATTTCTTTATCCCAAGTATTCAACTAACCAAACAAGTTTTCCTTATTCATCTAATATTCCCAAACAAAAAGGACTGTTAATGTTTTAAATTATGAATACAACAAAACAACTAGAGTAAATATGCTTCCAACAGCTCTGGATCCAGATTTTGGTAATGCTCTTACTCGACGAATGTTGCTTATTGGGATATCTGTGAAGACACCTGTAGGAATGGGTGCCACTCCTGGACTCGGCGGAGGCACAGCAGCTGCTGGAGCCTGTAGGTGGAAAGAAAAAGCTCTCAGTAACTATGGCTCAATCCAAGCATAAATACCTGGTACACTACCAGTGACTCTTTACAGATGGCAAAGTAAAAACTAAAAGTTTTGTAGAACAACTAGTTATATCCCCAGGAAGCAAAAGGGACTTGAATTAGATTTAAGAGATATTATTAATTGGTTTTACTTAGAATTCTGAAATCATGTTTTAAATATCATTTTTCTTTGAGCCTAATTTATGTCAAAATAATATTATTTTTGCAAAATTATCCTCAATAAAGCAATCAAACCATTCTTAAATTAAAAGGATTAAGAGATGAATATAAACAAACTAGTCAATTTCTTGAACAATGTTAAGGAAAAACAAGGCTAAATCTTTCATTTTAAAGAGAACATCTGGGGCCGGGATTATGGCTCAACAGTAGAGCACATGCCTCACACGTTTAAGGCCCTGGGTTCAATCCTCAGCATCACATAAAAATGAATAAATAAAAAATAAAGGTATTGTGTCCAACTACAACTAAAAAAATATTAAATAAAGAGAACATTGAATAACTAAATAATTTTCCTCATTTTTCGCTGATTATCTTAACATCCTACCCAATAAAACAGAATTTGGACATATAGATTTAGTCCTTCTGTAGATTCATTAAACACATATAAACTTAGACAACCAACTTGCAAATATGTTTTTAAAAATGGGCTGAGTTGGTCATGGTGGTACATGCTTATAATTGCAGCAACTCAGGAGGTTGAGGCAGGAGGACCACAGGCCAGCCTCAGCAACTTAGTGAGGCCGTAGTCAACTTAGTAAGACCCTGTCTCAAAACTGAAAAAAAGGGCGGGGTATGTAGCTCAGTGATAAAGAGCCCCAGGGTTCAATCCCCAATATCAAAAAGGAAAAAAAAAAGGCAAGTGCGGAGGGATGAATACCCAAATGCAAATTGTTAAGCCACTGATATTAGAAGAAAATGCAGTTTTGATTAAATTATTTCATTCATACTGTATGAAATGGTCTAACAGGCAGGACAAAACACTCTGCAGGGACAAACTGAAAAAAGTCAAATATAACTCACAGGAGCAACTTTAGTAGGCACAAAAGAGTCAATGTCCTTCTTGATAATTCTGCCATCTGGTCCCGTCCCTAGAAGAAATACATAAATATCACATATACGACAGCATGCCACTAGATCTCCAAGGAGATCAACATTGTCCTGAAGTGCAAGTTCCTAAGGGTTTGCTACCAAAAACACTCTATAGGGGTTGCAGTCCTTCAAGTTCTCCCTTAAAATATCAGCGTTTATTCATTATTCTTTTTACTTTTTATGTTTTTTCAGTACAGGGGGTTTAATCCAGAGACAGATGCGAGGCAAGTATTACTCCACTGAGCTATATCCCCAGGACTTTTTATTTTATTTTGAGATAGGGTCTCATTAAATTACCAAGCTGGCCTTGAACTTGTGATCTTCTTGCTTTAGCCTCCCCAAGTAGCTGGGATTAGACATATGCCAAATTTCTCTCTCTCTCTTTTTTTTTTCCTTCCGTACTAGGGATTGAACCCAGGGGGCTCTTAGCCACTGAGCCACATCCCCAACCCTTTTACATTTTTTATTTTGAGCCAGGGCCTCGCCTAGTTGCTGAGGCTGGCTTAGAACTTGCAATCCTCCTGCCTCAGTCTCCCAAGCCCCTGGGATTACAGGCATGTGCCACTGCACCTGGCCTATTTCTCTTTTAGATTTCCATCTAAATAAGCTGTGCTTTTTTTTTTTCCATCTTCTTTTAACTTGGGAAATACTGGCAAAAAAATAATGCTGAGCACAGTTTACACATCTGTAAGAAAAACTGTTCCCTACTTGTTAGCTAAATAAATAAAAAGAAAAAAATAACAAACAAAAAATTCTCAACCTGAAATAGAATCTCACTTTACTTCATAAAGAATTCTCTCTACAGGGTTGACAGATATGTGAGTAATTGTCTGGACAAATTTTCACCCCCCAATAGCATGAATTTTAATTTTAATTATCTCATCTTGAGGACTATTCATTCCTTAGGTGGTCTCAGACATTCACAGCTTTCTCACAGTAGCCAAAGCTACTGATTAGAGACAAAGAATCGGGTACAATGCCACATATGAGGAAGGACCTCTCCAAGTACTCTCCATAGATTTAAGAGATTTAGTATTATTTTTATTTAATTTCCCCCCTCCTCCAATCTGTAACAGCATACATTTAATGTTAGACCCAAGGACATAATCCTGACCTTTAATTTTGATAGATTCAGACTTTAGTTATTATAATACCTTTTATACTGGCCCACTTCTAGAAAAAATTTGGTCAAATTGATTCATCTTCCCCCATGGCAGACTTTTAAAAGGACTCTCATTGTGTGTAGTTCTTCCCAATTCCTTTCCTTCAATACAAAAACTGAGTTGGCTAGGACTGTGTTTATCCTCACCAGGAGCTCTAGAACAGAGGTGTCAGCATCCCTATTAGATTATCTTCCTTTATAAAAGATAGAAACCATAACCTCCCCTTATAACCAAAGCTGAGCTAGACACTGAGATGTGCAGCCCCACCAGGGAAGAAACCTGTAGCATCACCTGCCTTATTCCAAGCTTCAGCCACCTATGAGAACTTCCTAACCAATAGTAATTAACTGAAACCTTTTACCCTTCTTTGCCTCTCTGCCTAAGAAGACATAGCAGACACTCATGAGGCAAAATGACATAAAGGGAAGAACAGTGAACAAGCAGTAAAGTATGGAGGGTTCTTATCTAACATAAACTAGACAGATGACTATAGTTACATAGTCTCATCTAGTCCTCATTTTCACTTGTAGGTCAGAGATTATAATATCAATCCCCGCTCACAGGAAAGTTGTGAAGACAAAATGGGATAGGGATGTAAAAAGTTCTGTGCACCAAAGAAATATAAAATATTATATGGGCAGCCTTGAGTCTAATCAAACTCTGAACCAAGGTTTAGGGTTCAACATAGTTTTTCCCTAACTAATTATATTTTGGTCAAATTTGCAAAACAATCTATTGATTTACTCAACTTTTCCCTTAGTTTTTCCTTAATTGGGCTTATTTTTTTTTTCTTTCTCACATAATGCTGCTCAGAGTCGGGATGTGGATTAAGTATCCTTGCTACTCCTCCTAGCTAATTCTAAAACTTTCTATCTCCTCAAAAACCTCAACCCCTTTTGAAGTTCATGTCATCTGGTTATACAGCCTATTATTCTTCATGTCTGTCTCATCTACCAATACATAACCATTCCCATTTACTCAGATTAATTGCATCTTAACACACTGTCCTCTTGGGAACCACAATCCACTCAAAACCCAGATTTCTAAGACACTCAGCTCCAATTTTTCCCTCCCACCCACAAGAACACCCCCAACCTCTAAGGTAAAATCCTAGACTATATTATTACTAGTACTTAAACTAGTACTAGTAATTCTAGATATCTCTGAATCTAGAATTCAAGCAACCATCTTACTAATGCCATCACTGTGATATAATAAAAAATATATTTGATCTTTGTTCTAGGTTCCTGGAATGGACCTCCTGAAACCTTTGGAATTTCCTGAGTGGAAAGTGTCTTCTATTACTCATAATGAGCCCCTTCATACCACACCAGAGTTTTTGCTAAGGAAGTGCCTTAGGTTGGGCTCTTAGATAGCTACTAGGATCGGAGTAGTCAGCCAGAAAGACCAAACACATGACTGAGGGTAATTAACTTTCAATCCCCTTTCCCTTCTCTCTCCCCATCTCCTTCTTCCTCTGCTGCCCCACTTCCTGGGAGAGAAGGAAGATTGGAGACTGAGTTCAATGACAAAATGGCAAACGGTTTAGTCAATCATGTCTTTGTAATGACATGTCTATGAAAATAAATATTTTTCCTCCAGTACTGGGAACTGACAAAACGTCTACCACTGAGCTATATACCCAACACTGAAAATAAAAATTCTTTAACAGTGATATTCAGAGAGCTTCCAGGTTAGTAAACATATCCATGTGCTGTGAGGATGGCATGCCAGAGAAGGCATGGAAGTTCTGTGTACCCCTCCCCACTATACCTTGCCCTATGCATCTCTTCCATTTGGCTGTTTCTGAGCTATATCCTTTATAACAAATCAATAGTAGTAAGTAGTGTTTACTTGAGTTCTGTGAGTTGTTCTAGCAAATCACCAAACCTGAGAAGAGGTTCTTGGGGATTCCTGATTACTAACTAATGATTAAGACATAAAGATGACACCCAGGCCTGGCAACTGAAAGTAACTGAAGTAAAGGGTGTCTTACAGGACTGAGCCCTGTGGATTCATGCCAAATCTAGGTAGCTAATGTCAAAATTGGACTGAATTCCTGGACACCCAGCTGGCATCAGAGAATTGAAGGATATGGGGATACCAAGCATTTGGAGTCAGAAAACACACAATAACTGATACTGATACTGATACTCTGAGCTCACTTAGCCCAGACCACACCCTTCCCCCAATGAAAAAATAATCACTTCTGCCTCATCAAGATACCACTCCACTGATTCCTTTACTCTCATTATCCATGACCTCCCTCTGGTCTTCACTTTCCTCCTAACCCAGTTTACATTCTATGGATTATTCTTATAATCCTCCTTTGCAAAACCCTAAGTCTATTTATCTTTCTCAGTGTCAACACTGAGCAACTTAATGTTGCTATATAGAAATACAAACACAAACAGAAACACAAACCTAAAACAGATACACAAAACTGCCCAGAAATGCAATCATTTCCTTTAAATTCACCTTTCTGATCTCTGAGGCTACTACTTTCTAATTGCTCTAACCACAAAAATTTCCTCACTCATTAACCAGCTAATATCTTCATTTCACATTTATTTATCAAAGAGCAGTGACCAAAAAGGAACTCTTGTCATCTTTTACCAAACTGATAAAGCCATTCTATATTTTCTCTCCTATGAAAATAGATAAAAATGTTCTTAATTTCTATAAAGGCCAATTACATTCCTTCTTCTTTTTTTTTTAATGTGGTGTTGGGGATCAAACCTAGTGCCTCACGCATACTAGACAAGTGCTCTACCACTGAACCACAGCCACAGCCCTTTCGAATTCCTTCTTAAGAACTTTGTTCCTTGTGAAACCATCCTGCTCATAATCCCCTTCTATGTCATCCACTGATCCTTTTCTATTAGGCCACTGATTCTCAAGGAGAGCAATTTAGCTCCCCAGGGAATCCCTGATAATGTCTTACGACATTTCTGTTTGTCCTAAATAGAGATTGGAACTACCACCTTACTAGATTGAGGCCAAGAACATTACATCATATAATGTACAGGTCACAACCCACATACAACAAAAAATTATCTGGTCAAAAAAATCAATAGTGCCACTACTGAGGAACTCCATACTAGATTCATTCTAACACTTATCTTCAAAAGCCCTCCCTACATATATTTTACTTTATTATTATTTTCTTTTACTTTTTTGTTTTTTCAGGATTGAGTGTAGAATCCAGGAATGCTTTTCCATTGAGCTACATCCCTAGCCCTTCTTATTTTTATTTTCAGATAGGGTCTTGTGAAGTTGCCCAGGCTGGCCTCAAACTTACGCTCCTCCTGCCTCAGCCTCCTAAATTGCTGAGATTACAGGCACTTGCCACCATGCCCAGCAAAAACCCTCTTAGGTCCACATCCATCTAAAGCTATCATTATTCCTATGCCTTTCTTCATAGCAAGCTTTTTTTTTTTCCCCTTTTCAGTACCAGGGATTAAACTAAGGGGCACTTACTATCTCTAGCTGTTTTTTGTATTTTATTTAGAGACAGGGTCTCACTGAGTTGCTTAGGGCTTCACTAAGTTGCTGAGGCTGGCTTTAAACTCCTGATCCTCCTATCTGAACCTCTTGAACTGCTGGGATAGAAGGCGTGAGCAACAACAGCTAGACTTCTTGAATGAGTTGTCCACAATCCTCTCTCCATTTCACGTCTACTTCTTGACTTATTCAGATAGGTTTCCACTCAATCATTCTTCTGAAATTACTGTTGTCCTCTACAAAATCCTTGATTGAGTTCTGTTGATTCCAGGTAAAAAATGTGTCTTAAAGTTGTTCATTTCTTTTTATTTTCACCACCCTTGTCTAAGCTACCATCATTAGCTCCAGCCATCTAAACAGATAACTTGGCTTTCATTTAATCCATTTCTTCAAAGCAACCAAAATATTCTCTTAAAAAACATAAATCATTTTATTTCACTTCCTTGCTTATGTCTTTCAATGACTTCCTATTATACTTTAAATGAAATTTCAACTCTTGATCAAGATCTATAAGACTCATAATAATCTCATCTCTGTGCTTCTTCCCCAACTCATTCATCTTCTACCACTATACCAGACCCACTGCTCCCTATGTTCCATTACATTCTTCGAACACGTCAAGCTCTTTTCCATTTTAGATTGTATACTGCTGGTCTCTCTGCCCCAAATGATCTTTCCTCTGTACTTCACATGCTTGGCCCAAAGCTGACTCCTCATCTTTCAATCAGATCAAATGTCACTTCATCCAAAAGATCTTCTCTAACCACCATGTCTAAAAGTAGTCATGACCGTTCATATATTTATCCTGTCACTAGTGTATCACTCAGCTTATTTCTTTCTTAACACTGAAATCATCATTTAATAAAATATATTACTGTAATAGCTAATACCTAAATATTCTTTCTCTGCACAGGCATTTATTTACTCATGTAATCCTCACAACAAATCAGGTATTATTTTTATACACAAATGAAGAGAATGAGACACAAAGTTCACATGKCTAGTACTAAAAGAGCTAACATTTAAACTCAAGCAATCAAGCTCCAGAGCCCACACTTCATGCACATAACATAATTTGATCATTCTCATTCTCCAGAACCTTCCCTTTCCCTCTTCTCCTCCCTCCCTCTGATCAGAGCCCACTCTTAATTACTAAGCTATAGATCTCCTTTCTGTTCACTTTTTTTTGTTTTTTTTTTGGTACCAGGGATTGAACCCAGGGCCACTTAAGCACTAAGCCACATCTCCAGCCCTTTTTATTTTTTGAGTCAAGGTCTTAATAAGTTGCTTAGGGCCTCCTAAATTGCTGAGGCTGGCTTTGTACTTGTGATCCTCCTGCCTAAGCCTCCCAAGCTGCTGGGATAATAGGCAGGTGCCACTGCACCCAGCTTATTTCTTTACTGTCGACCATGCAGGCAAATGAAACTAAAATCTTATGAACAAGGATCTGATGTATATAGAACTTGGTGAATATTTGCTTAAATAATAATAAATGAACAACCTAACTGCCTGCATAGTAAAAATGATGGGATTTTCCCTTCTTATCTCATTAGTTAGTGTTGCCAACTATCTAATGAATGGTCTTTCTTAACTTGTTTAAATTTTTCAGATATAAATAATAATCTAGTCCCTCTTCTGTCTTCAAAATTTATTCCCACTAACACTGCTATCTTGACTCTAATCATATATACGAAAGGAATGGCAACATACAAGTGAAATAGCATAAGACGGACAAAAAAAAAAAAAAAAAAAGAGTCTGCCAATATTATAAGAATCCTGTGAAGTCCAAACAATTTATAACTTTCTATCCTTGTATCTTGGGATTGGCTTGACTTTTAACTACAAAATAGTAGTTTGCAGGCAGATGATAACCAGCACTGAGTGCCCACAGCTGGGCAACTGGGAAACCAGCCATATTTTTCCTCGGTAATTATGGCAACATAAGGTGGTGGGAAAAAAACAGACTTCAGAGATATAACAAATCCAGATTCAAATTGCAACTTCATTATGTAACAAATAGGAATATTCCTTAAGATTCTGTTCTTACCCAAAAAAATGGTTAATTCTTACTTTAGAAACTGTTGTTCAAATTAAATGTGGTACATTAAATGACCAACACATAGCATTAACCATCAAACCAGGTTCCAAGAATACTAATTCCCCTCCTTTTCCAAGTAAGTATTTAAATCACATTATATTAAACTAGCTTAAGTTTATCCAAGAATACAAGAATTTATGTGCCAGGTAATAGTAACAATATGAATGACAACAAATACATATTGAGTACTTACATGCTAGATACTTTTCTAAGCACTTCACCTTTATAACACATTTAATTCTCATCATTCTCTATATACATTACTATCTTAAATTCATCTAAAGACATAGATAAGCTAAGTAGTCATTCACCTAAAGATGAAAACATAGAAAACAATAAAAAGCTAAGATTCCAAACCCAAGTGATTTATCACTGTGCTACATCCCCAGCCATTTTTGTTTTTTATTTTGAGACAGGGTCTTGCTAAATTGCTTAGGGTCTTGCTGAGTCGCTGGGGCTAGCCTTGCCTTAGCCTCCTGAGTCACTGGGATTACAGGCATGCACCACCCCACAGCTGGCTAAGCTGTATGTTTACTTTGGGGAAAAAAAAGATGAATAAAGCTTTTGCCCTTGCCCTTAGGGAGCTTTAATTCAGTTTCATACGAATTTTATTATTTTAAGTCATTTAAAATCATCCCTACTTCATGTTTTGTTTTGTTACATTCAGTAAACCTAGCACTAATAAAAATATCTTCTTATTACAAAACCAGGTCCTAAAACCCAACTTTGCTAAGCAAAAATGTGTATTTTCACTAACAATTAAGCAGTTCCCATGAAGGTAGGGCAATTTTTAAAAGGTATCTAAATTCTTCAGGAAGATCCTAAGAAGACTAAATAAAACATAACAATGTTTCCCTACTCTGTGGAGACAATAAAGAGATATTTTCCTCCCTCATCATCCTATTATATACAGTTGTATGCACTGGTTTCAAAGAGGAAATTCAACTATATTTTAACTTTACAACTCCATGCCATAGACAGAATCTTACCTTTTACTTGTGTAAGGTCAATTCCTTTTTCTGTTGCCAACTTCTTTGCAAGAGGGCTAACAAATACCCTTCCCTTTGGTCCAGCAGGAGCAGCTGGAAAGGTGGCTGAGGGTGTAGGAGATAAAGGTGCAGGAGTTGGAGGAACAGGGGCCACCTTTGAAAAAAGTTTCAAATTATTAATTAATCACGCAAAGATTGGTCTGAAAGATTTAAGTGTATATTTTATGAATAAATTAAAAGGTATTTTAATTAAATAACATGCATCCTTTTCCCCAAAGATCTTTCTTTCTGCTTAACCAACACAGTGTAACAATAGGAACAGCAAAAACAATCTTTTATGACAAAGACAGAACAAAGTCAAGTTATCTTAGGAAAACATGGAGAGGTACTGAATTTAATACTGCTGACCACTATATAATATCCTTACAGCCTCTCTTCACTTCAATCACTTGCCATTTCTTTATACTGATTAAGTACATCACCAACATAGCTTTTGTCTTTATTTAATCAAATTTCAAAATACAAAATTATGCTAGAATGTTCCAAGTTGAAAAGTATCTAAAAAAATTAACTAACACTGCTACTTTCTAGCTCCCTGTGAATGAAGGACACACAGAAATCAAATTTTCTCCTACAGTAATGTGCACCTAGTCTGAACTCACATGATTCTAGCATCTGCAGAAGCTTCATTGTGTTATCTATCTATACTTTGAGTTCACAAAAGTTCATGTTATAGATGTATACTATACAATACATTGTATATGGTAATATACCAAATTCTATGCAAAACAAGTATGCTTGTCAAGCTTCCAGTGCATTACAAATATATATTGACCTACTATAAAATGTAAATACCTAAAAGGATAAGAAATGTCAGGCATCATATAGTAAATGTGACTATGTCACCTCCACATTTTTCTCAGCAGGACTCAAGACAGCAGTGGGAAAAAAGCTAGAATGCTCAAACTACTGACCATTAAAAGCATGGCACAGTGCCAACTAACCCTACAAATGTTAACAAACTATCCCCTTCCCCATTCATATAATCTTGGAGCTCAAAGGAACCTAGGACATCATCTAATCACATCCCTTTAATTTATTCTTTAACAGGATAAATGTTCCCTTGATTCTGGAGCCATACCTACCGGAGGTGGGGTAGGTGGTGGTGCTTGTGGTTTTAAATCAGTTACTTCAGTTGGCCTATAATCAGCAAATGCTGCGATATCTCTTTTTCTACGATGATACAAAGTGGGGTTCCCAGCGGGACATCTCTTGTGCCTTCAGGAACCAGGATTTTTGCCAGATAACCTTCTTCCTGTACTTCAAAACCTTAAATAGAAAGAAAAAAATTATGGTAATTAAAAGACTCTACTATTAATACAAACTCACAGTAGAGTTTTAAGTACAGGCTTTTTTCATTCTAACTAGTTACATAGCCTTTTTATAAGCTATTTAACCTGGACCTCAGTTTCTTTATAAAATGGGCAAAATTATATTACAGTCATCATTGGATTTAACTATTTATAGGTCAAAATTTTATACTGTTCCTGAGTTAAGTCTATGATAATTGCATCTATACTGAAGATGTATATAGACTTTTTTCTCTTGTCATTATTCCCTAAACAATATAATGTAACAACTACTTACTTAGTTTTTACTGTATTAGGTATTAGAAGCAACCTAGAAATTAGTTAAAGTATATAGGAAGGGTCAGGGAATAGCTCAGTAGCAGAGGTCTTGCCTAGTATGCACAAGTCCCTAGGTTCAATCCCCAGCACATCAAAAAGAAAAAACAAAAAAACAAATATATGGCAAATATGAGAGAATGCATATAAATTCTATGCAAATATTATGCCATTTTATATAAGAGACTTAATTATCTGCAGGTTGGGGGGGGGGCAATTCCCTGCCCCCCTCCAGATACCAAGGGATGACTATACCTACTTCAGGTATTTTAATGAATTTAAATGAATATTTCTTAAGAACTTAGAAACAATACCTGGTACAAATACAGCTGACCCTCCAAATCCACAGGACTAAAATCATTTGAAAAAAATAATGCATCTGAGCTTAACATGTACAGATTTTTATTCTGGAACCAATTCCCTGTGGATTCTGAGGAGCAACTGTATCTGCTAAATAAAACTATCAGAGATTAGAGAAAATAATTAGTTCTCAAAGTTATTAAAAATATCTCCAAGGGCAGATCCCATGCAGACTTACAAGACTTCAAGATAGTGTCAGCTGTACAAATAAAAATCACAGCCACATGGATGTCAAATTAAAAAACATCCCAGATGAACAGTGATGTTCAAGTTCAATTCTAAAAGTTTCCTTGGGGCTTTTCAAAGAGGTTATATTTAGTGTTATACTAAATATTTCAATGTGAAAAAATGCAACATTATTGGAATGTCTACGGTGTTGACAACTTATATTTTATTCAGCTACTGCTTTTCTTATAAGAAACCAAAAATTAGAGTTGCAAAAGTAAAACTAAAAGAAGCCACTGGAGAAGATAAATAAGTTTTGACTCGTAGATAAATAACCATCTTCCCCCMAAAAACACCCATTTATGGAGAACTATAATTTACAAAAGAAAAAGAACTGTTCTGGTAGAGTAGGGGAGGGAAATGGGGCATTGTAGGGTCCTACTCTTTAATTCTCCTTTGCCAAGATGCCAGTGAGTAACGATGGGGTTTAAGAGAATACAATCTGCCAAGCCTATTGCAGAAGATGCCTAGGATCTTCTACTACATCTCTGTAGAACAGACAGGCTCCCTTTATTGACGACTGGAGAAAAGGGCAAGAAATTCATAATACCTACAAATATCCTAAATATTATCACAAATATAAGATTATCTATATGCATTTTATTTCTGAGCATAAAAACAAATCAAAAAAGGGGGAAACATGGAAATGTACTATTGGAACAGATTAATATGCATGTCATTTTCAAACTATGAAAACAATCTAMACCCTGGTTTTCAGCTTTCCCTTGAAGCCATCTTAAATATTTTTATATTTTCCTGCCTTGGGAGTGATTTTCTCCTCTTCTGTTTTTTTGCCCAGTTTAGACAATGGCAGTTATGATATAGCTTTTCAGTAACATAAAAATAAGGCTAAGAAGCAAACTCTAGCCTAAGAATAATCTGAGTTGACATTCTTCTTGATTCAATGAATGTGATATGTACCTGACAAATTTGACCATATACATTTTTGTTATAAAACTCTTGTCCCAGGAAATGAATCCTAAAAATTGTAAAATTTTCACATCATCATTCACTTGTGACAAGAAAGAATGACAATCCTCTTGCTCACTAGAAAACTTAGTGCCTCAACCATTAAGAGCTGAAGAAATCTCACCTATAGTGGCCTTGTCAGTCTCTATTTCTGCCAATAAGTCTCCTTCACTTAGCTTCTCACCCACTTTTTTTTCCCATCTCTGAACTGTACCCATTGTCATTGTAGGAGAAAGGGCAGGAAGAAGTACCTGTAGAAGTAAATACATAATACTGCTTAATATTAAGAAGCATTGGACACAAAACACTCAGGCAACCTTATACAGTTTCAGGGAGTGATAGTGACTTTGAGAGTCCAAACAGTCATCACATCGAAAGCTCAGTGCCTCAAGAGCTTTCCACCAGTTAAATACTCCTTCAGATCATCTTAAGCGTTAAAGCGTATCAGCCATACGCAGACACACCATTCAAAGTTCAAAGTAACAGGTAAATGGGAAGAATTTTTTTTCCAGATAGTCAATTTCCCCAATAAATATCTAATCATAGAGCATCTTTTCATCTTTCTATGACATTTAGATTAAGATAGAATTTTGGAGAGGATAAGATTGTGGCTCAGAGGTAGCATGCGTGAGGTTCTCGGTCCTATCTTTAGCACCACATAAAAATAAAATAAACGTATTGTGTCCACTTACAACTAAAAAATAAATAAATAAATAAATAAAAGATAGAATTTTTTGGCCAGGTATGGTGGTGCAAGCCTGAAATCACAGCCACTCAGGAGACTGAATAAGAGGATCACAAGTTCCAGGCCAGCTTGGGCAACTTAGTGAGATCCTGTCTCAAAATAAAAGATAAAAAGGACTGGAGATGCAGTCAGTGGTAGAGTATTTGCACAGTATTTATAAGGCTCTGCACCACACACAAAAAAAAAGATGGAAGGTATTTTTTTTTTACAAACTGATCTGGTCCGAACTCCTCTGCTAAAATTTTACTGTGCTCCATACATCTTTTCACCCAAAGAAAACCACATTTGTCCCAAACTTCCTAGACATAAGATTTACAAAACCAGTAAGAACTATTCTTTGGAGATTATAGTTAATAAAAATGTACATTGATTCAATTTCACCATTCACAATGTATACATATTTCAAAACATTATAATTATAAATTCAAAGAATTTATGTCCATTTAAATTAATTCTTTAAACTAAAAATTTTTTAAAACTGTAGGTCTTTATTTTATTTTGGGTTTTTCTTTGTGGGAGGGTGCTAGGGATTAAACAAGGGCTTCATGAATGCTAAACAGTGCTCTACTGCTGAGCTACACTCCCAGTTCCTCAAAAACTGTTCTTATAATAGTCCTTTCCACACCAACAAAATGGAAACATCTGAATTAAAAATTAAAAATACCTCTGGTTGGTCTTGAGTTGGAAGGAGACACAAAAATTAAAGAACCTGGCAGGGGGCTGGGGTGGTAGCTCAGCAATAGAGAGCTTGCCTAGCACAGGTGAGGTCTTGGTTTCCATTCTCAGCACCACATAAAATAATTAATTAATTAATTAACAATATTGTATCCAACTACAACTAAAAAAAATATATTAAAAAAAAAAAGAACCTGGCAGTTATTAACCATCTCTGGTCACTTTGAGGAAAAACACTGCAGAGGATATTGTTTGGCTTCCTGGACTGGCTGTTGCAAATTATGGGTTAGAGTTCTCTTTATGTGTATATTACTCCTTATATATATTTTATTTGTTTTTAATGTGTTGCTGTAGAATGAACCCAGGGCCTTGTGCATGCTAAACACATGCTTTACCACCAAGCTATATCTGTAGCCCCTTTGCCATTTGAGTTGGTATATAGTCAATCTCCCAAAAATCATATAAGAGCACATAGCGGAATATCTTCAGATTTGGCAAAGGATTCTTAGATTTGACACCAAAATACAAGCAAGCAAAGAAAAATTTAGATAATATGCCTTTCATCAAAATAAAAATGGTCTTGGATCTTTGTACCTTTAGTGGACCTTCTGTAAAAATTAATTAATTAAAAATTGGTTTCTTATTTTTATAGTTTGCGTGCACACTGAATGTGGATGGTTATTCAGTCCATCAGTTATAATGGACTTCATCTGCTGTCTTCTTAGGCTTTTGTATCTAATTAGCAATACTGAATAGTCCGATGTTGAGGGGAAAGTAATTTCAATCAAAGATGTCTCCAGAAGGGGGGAAAAAGTAAAACAAGACTGAAAATTCTTTAAAAATGCTTTGTTTGTTCAAAATTTGCCATCTTCATCTGTTTTTTAAAAATGACTGGAGCTGGGCTTGGTGGTGCATGCCTGTAATTCCAGTGGCTCAGGAAGTTGAAGCAGGAGGATCAGAGCCATCCTCGGACTGAGACCCTGTAGCTAATATAAAAAAGAGCCGGAGATGTGGCTCAGGGGTTAAGCACCCCTGGGTTCAATCAAAAAAAACCAAAGACTAGAGCCGATAATCTCAATAATTAAGGCACAACCCAACACTTATACATTTGCATACAAAGCCGCAGACATAAAATGGATAGAAATGAGGTCTTATGTAATGAGATAGAATCTGTTGAACAGGATGATATAACTGTGTGAATTGTAAGACCAGGTAAAATTTCATCATAAGTGATTGTTACTAATAGTCCTTGAAGTGGAACATTACTTCCAATGAAGAAAATGATTCTTAAACAAAATTTTCAAGAAAAAATAAGTTAAAGCAAGTTCAGATATTAATCCTTTAGAAAAAGGATAACTAGTTTTTTATCCAATTTCAACATTAAAAATATACAAATATACACAGGACTACTCTAATATAAACTGATTTAATTTCTTAGAAAGTGACTTAGTACAATCAACAGTGACTGCATTTATAGCTTTCAGTTTTGTTGCAGTGCTATTCTATGTGTTTACTGCACACTTACTCTTTATTGTCATTTATGAATACTACAGAAGTACTTCACCTATTCAGCAAAAGTAGACCAACACATGTCAAAGGAAAACACTCTTAGGCAGGAGTTCAGGGACACCAAGGTGGCAGAGGCAGCGTATAAAAGAAGGATGCGCTGGAGGACAACACAGGGAGGTGAGTTATGTCTCCGTTGACATTACCATGCCAACTCCTGCCATGGGTTCAGTATTTTAAAATGACCAATGGAGTAAACTGAGCAGTATTCTAATTAGGTTTTCTAAAATAACTAACGGGGAAAATTGAAAATATTCTAACCAGGTCTCATAAGGTGACCAGTAAGATCTTCCATCAGGTCCATATAGGGAAGAAAATGCCTCACAGTTCATCTGCTGTCTTCTTAGACTTTTAAATAAAACACTAATTTCCAGACATTGAGGCCTTGAAGCTCTCTCTTACTAGGCTCACTCTGCTCTACCTTACAGAGTGCTACTTCCATCTTCACCTTCAATAAATCTATACTTCACCTGTTACTTGTGTGTCTTGCTCAGTTCTTTGTTGGGGACACCAAGGACCTGGAACCCAACTGGACACCCTGACAATAACAACACCAACTGAGGACTTTCAACAGATGGCACTCCATTTGTACAGGGAGTAAACATAAGTAAAATCACCTTCAAAATCGGGAACATAATGTTTTATGGGTTTTTGGCAGGGGGGAGTACCAAGGATTGAACTCAGGGGAATTCAACCACTGAACCACATCCCCAGCCCTATTTTTTATTTTATTTAGAGAGAGGGTCTCACTAAGTTGCTCAGTGCCTTGCTGTCGCTGAGGCTGGCTTTGAACTTGAGATCCTCCTGCCTCAGCTTCCTGAGCCATTGGGATTACAAGCATGCACCTTGACACTCAGCTCTTTTTGTGTTCCCCCCTCCCCCTTAGGGCTTTATGGTTATGCATAGTAGCTGGGTTTATCCCAACAAACACACTCATGCATGGAAATCTATTTCAATTCATGAGCCCTCGATTTCCTTCCTGTCCTSCCCACCCTGCTCCCCTTTTCCTCTGCTAGTCCACTAGACTTCCTTTTAATCATCTATTAACTTGTATTTGATTGGTTCCTTATGTAATTTTATTCTTCCCTCCCCCTTTCCTTTATTTTACTCTAGCTTCCACATATGAGAAAAAAACATTCAACCTTTGAGTTCCTGAGTTTGACTAATTTCACTCAGAATGATAATCTCCCTTTCCACCCATTTACTGGCAAATGCCATAATTACATTCTTTTTATTGATTGAGTTGACTGATTGTGCGAGTGTGTATATATATCACAATTAAAAAAAAATTTGTAGTTGTAGATAGACAGCATGCCTTCATTTTATTTGTTTCCTTTTATATGGTGCTAAGGATCAAACCCATTGTTTCACATGTGCCAGGCAAGTGCTCTGCCACTGAGCTACAACCCCAGGCATATATCACAATTTCTTAATCCATTCATCTATCCATAGGCTTCTGGTTTGATTCCATAATTTAGTTATTGTGAATAAACACTGATGCGGCTATGTCGCTGTAGTTTGCCAATTTTAGGTCTTTTGGGAAAATACTCTGGAATGGGATATCTGGGTCATATGGTGGTTCCATCCCTAGTTTTAGAGGAATCTCCACACTGCTTTCTAGAGTAGCTGTACTAGTCCACAGTTCCACCGACAATGTATAATTGTGGAACATAATGTTCTTGAGTAAGAATTACCAAGCATTATACTGTGTAATACACCAAGGCTGAGTGGAGAAAGGTTAAAAGAATTGTCTAAGTTACATGCCTGGAAATAACAACTAAGATCAAAGGTTATCAATTTTCAGGGTTAAATCTCCATATACTCACAAATGACAAAACCTAACCATATTTAATGCCAGTTTCCAGTATATGATAGCCATCTATGAAAAATATATAGATATTAAATCATTTAGAGCAAATACTCAGCTGAGCCTCACCTGCATATGAGTGGGATATGAACTACCAGGAGCCTGAGCAGAAGGCGTGGGTGGAGATGCAGCAGCAGTAGCAGCAGCTGGAGTTGGTGCTGA